CATTTCTTGAAACAGAAATTACATTCTCAAAACGAACATGGACAAACCTCCAAAACACTTGGCAATTGTTCAACAGACAGAATTGTATTTCTCATTGATTTCATTACATTGCGGAAATGTAGGTATTAGTACATCTGTTGCAAATGATTAAGTAACAGTTATGCCTACATTTTAAGACAGATTTCCAGTGATATTATGCTTTGATACATTTTCTTTTACTCTGATATGGAGGTTAGCTGTAAATGTGGTGTGAATATAAAAATGGCTACCTGTTCCGTTGCCAGTGTGTGAGTGCAATGTGGTGATGTCAAAACCGTTAGAGGCGTACTTTACCTAAAAATTCTGTTTTTTATTTTATTGTGTGTTCAGTTTTATACACGAAGTTGTATTCTGGTTTAGCTTAGACAAAAAAACTAGGTATAGTAACCATTGTCAATGAAGGACTGGGCTAGAGACTGAGAGGTGGACATGAGGGGATCTGGTCCTTAATGCCATAAGTGACAGAAAACTCATAACATTTTGAACTTGTGCAGTGCGTCACACAAATGCCAAAGACACGATGGCATTTTGGAGGTACATGGCTATTTATATGAGAAAGAAAATTTAGTTTTGTGACAACATGAAGGTGAACTGTTTTTTGGGAGTTGGTAGGTGCGCTTTGGTGCAAGTGAAGCTATTGGTGTTGTGTGCTGAACTGTAAGAAAACCTAGCCAAACCAATGGAGAAAAACTGCAATATAAGTCACACAGTCCTAAAGGTCCATTTAACACATCTCACAATGTGCTACAATCTCTCATTTTCCAACACCACTTGGTTTGACTTTTTTAAAATCTATTTAATGTTTTAAAAATGTAAATAAATAAATGTATGTATTGTCAAAACCAAAAATATTGATTTCACATGAAAGCTAATTCTTATATTTGGTGAATGTTTGGTATTGTTGTTTTAAAAAGATTACTAAATTATCATAATGGTTGTTAATTGTTTTTTCTATTAACATAAATAATAAAGAAGGTGACTCATTATTGCAGCTTCAAAAGGTTGGTAAACCTACAAATCCTACATTTCCTACATTTCCCATAATGCAAATTGACTAAATGAATCTACTTCATGACTGACACAAGAGGAAAAAGGAGAGAGACGGCGGGAAAATAACAGAAAGGTAATATTAACGTCAATAAGTAATTTTACAACTGAACTTTAATTGTGGAATTAAATAACATTTTTAATAAAACGAGTTTGTAACTGTGGAAGTGACAAAAAAAAAGTTTTTGGTGAAATTGATTTCGAGTACTAATCAATCAACAATCGCCAAGTTAATTAGCACAATTAATTACACAGTAGAGCGACAATACTGCTCATGAGCGTATTCAACTAACGTAAATGTCTTTATTATATCATATTCATTAATCATTTATGCTGTATGTCTCATTTATGTAGACAATAGTTACAATAGTACACTGTATAGCTGTACTTGCTTATAAATAGCTTTATTGGTGTTTGATTAAAGTGCAAGCGAGTTTTTTGCAGTCAGCTGTCATCAGTGATTCCTCAGTTTTCTCCTCAGAAAAATAGAAAAATAAGTTGAGAGCAGTGAGAAAATGGAGAAAATGAGCAGCAGTCAGATGATAGAAATACACAATAGTACATGAGGTGATTTGCCCAAACAAACACAGACTATATAAACAGTCCTGTGGTCAGCTTCAAGCAAACAACACAAGGCAGAAATTTGCTTCATTTTCTGTTTGAACACTCCCCCCCCCATCAATGCCTGGTGGCACATTTTTCAAATTCCATGTCTCCAGTTTGTAACACAAGCTTTCTGTTAAAAATTCAAAGTCTGCGAGGCAAAGCTGAGATTTATTTTCTGACACTTTAAAAACCTCCTCCGCAGCCACTGAAAACATTATACGACTGTTTCTACAGGCTGAGTAGTACTCCTTGTGATGAGTAAAGTGCACTTCAGGTGTAAAATTGGTGGAATTCTCCTTTAATGGACTGATTGTTTCAGTTAGTTCATTGCAATATTTGCTTTGTCTCTTGGTTAGGCTGCTGGCTTGTGTGTTTTCTGTCAATGTTCCAAGGTGAACGTGATGTTTGTTGGTTTATTGACTGTGTATAAAAAATGTATTCACACTGATAAACAACGGGACAGAGCCTGGGGGGGTCCTGAGTGGGAAAACAACACTATTAATGGAATTCAGTTTAGAACAGCTGATGGTGAAAGGGAAAGAGAAAGAAAAAAGGCAGAGAGAGGGAATTTAACAGCAGAGCAATACAGTGAGGTGATTTAAGGAAAAGAAGGCAGGATACGTGACAGGATGAAGGTGAATAATACCGAGAAAACGGGAGCAAAAGTGGGCTGGGAGAGGAGGAGGGGTTGCGCTGAAGTGAGCGAGAGGGAGGAGAGGAAGGGAGGCAGGCTAAATCCTCACACCATTATTATCAAGACTCACATGCAGCCCCTCCTGTGATGGAGTGAGAGGAGATAGAAAGAGATAAAGAAAAGATGGAGTTAAAGAGGAAATGGAAAGCAGGATTACTGGTGTGACAGCACCGGCAGATGAGCGGCAGCGCAACGGTGAGGGAGAGAGAGAAACTCTGGTGGAAAAAAAAAAGAAATCAGTGCAACAGGATGAGGACCTGCTAGTGCACAGCCGGCCCGACCCCGCAGACCTGCCATCTGTCCCGCTGTTCTCTCCGTGTTCCTGACGCTGCCACCAGCAACCAACATCTGGATCACCTCGCTTCCATATGGGAAAAAGGGCAAGGGGGGCCAGAAAACCCAAATCTTACTCTCATTTTTGATCACACAGGACCCGAGAAGGCTCATCATCACCAGGGGGATCCCTTGCTGCGGAGTACCACCACCTATGGGGGCGGGAGGGGGGGCTGATAACTGGACCTAAGGAGGGGAAAACTTTTGCTCCAAACATGCAGAGGCGTGCACAGGACCCTTTCCTCATCTGTCTGTGAGATTTTTCTAACTTCCCATGGATCTGTTGTGTCTCTTACCCCCGAGCAGGGAGAGGGAAAAGGAGACAGAGGAGGTGGAGAGGGGGAGAAAGGAGGAGACGGCGGGGAAGCGTCACCGCCACCGCTGTTGAAGTGTTACCGGCGTTTGTGCTCCTCTGCTGAAGAGGCATTTTGTCACTCTTCCTCCCCCCCTTTCGCTCCTCTCCTCATCCGACCAGCGGGGAGCCTGAGGGATACAGACGGGGAGCTAAACACAGTGGGTTTATGCACACATGCACGCAAACACACACTAACAGTGGCTGGCTGCTCGTCTAGGGGCTCCCGCACCTCTCGTCTTCTGTCACCCTGCTTTTCCCTCACTTCCTTTCCTCTCCTTTCCCATTTTGATGTCCTGTCTTCACCTTCATGACCACTTGTAAATGCGTTCACTGTAACACTCGCAGAAAAAGAGAGAAGTGAGAGAAGGGGCGAAGAAAGTGAGGAGTTGAAAAGAGAGATTTTTCTGGAGAAGCAGGGAGATCACATACGCTTGCTGTCACGTTGTGAAGTCCTCCAGGGGAGTGTGCAGACATCCAAAGCTGCCAAACACACTAACACACACACACACACACACACACACACACACAGACAACTCATTCGCTCTCACACAGAGACTTGGTCTAAATGCGTACTCCTACAGGTGCTGAGAGGGGAGAGAGGCAGGTGAAAACCGAGTGAAAAGGAAAGAAACAGAAATAGAGAGAAAGACATTTGGAGGGAAGCAGCTGGGGGAACGATGGAGCAGCGGGAGTTCAAGTTGGATGACGGCAGAAAGCACAGGTAAGTCTGTCACACACTCCCTCACACTGTTATTCTGTCATCTAATCTGATCTACTGTCAGGAATTCATACTTTATATATAAGTGAGGCGGACAGATATGGAGCGATAGATAGATACTAGAATAAGAAGCTCAGGGGGGATATGAGTGTAGACACACAATACGAGTGCAGTCATACTTTCAGTTTTCATAAGTGAAGAGTTTCCTCGAGAGAAGGCTCCCATCTGCTGCTGACAGAAACAGAACAGCCAGTTGTTACTATAACAGGAACTACTGTAAGAGGACATATTAGCATTTTTTCACTCTGAGCTTTGGCGGTTAGCTGCTTGTTTGGAGTGAGTAAAAGTGTGTGTGTGTGTGTGTGTGTGTGCAGTCCTTCCACACCTGCACTTACTCAGTATGACTCATTTACTTATGGATTATGGATGTTACAGTTGCAGTGTTTTACTGTCGTATCAGTTATCTGGTAATGCTCATTGATTTGTCCCATAAGCTGAATGTAGCAGCTCTCATTTTTCTCCATTAGTGACAGAGGCTCCTTTTCTGCTCCAGTTTACATATATCATGTTTATTTCAGGTGCATAGTTCACAGTAACACGGAAAACTAGTGGTTCCCAACCTGAGGTTCAGGGCCCCATCAAGGGCTCACAAGATAAATCTGAGGGGCCACAAAATGATTAAAGGGTAGGGTATAATAAAAGAAAAAAGCTTATTTTTCTTTTCTTCTACACATCCTCTAAGGCTGTAAACTGATGTACCATAGTTTCTTTCAGCTGCTGTTCATAGATCAGTGGCTGCCAACATGGGTTCTTTGGCCCTAAGATAAATCTAAGGGACCTCAAGATTATTAAATAGACAGAACAAAAGAAAAAACATATTTATTTTGCACAAATTTTAATTGATTTTTGTCTAATTATTTTGGTTTTGTGAAAGACTGCAAACCTTTACCTGTAGAGGCTTCTGGAAATCCTTTCTAAGACTACAAACTGCTGCAGTTATAAGTATATATGTATTTATATGTTTAGCTGCACAAACCTGTGGTCAAAAAAGCAACAAGTAACACCAAGCTAAATAACAACA